TGACCGAGGTCTTGAAATGCATTTTCTTAGCCGGCAAATAGCATATATGTAATTGCCTCTGTGAAACTTCATATCGTCTACTAAATTAGTCACTACAAATTACATTTTGCAAACCTTAAAGGATCATTGTTTTTCAGTCGGAAGCTAGATAAATCTGATAAATTTCGTGTACTTCACATTTTCAGATAATCGAAAAAGTCACTCCAACAAATTTTGTAGTATTTCTTGACGCCGAATTTGAATTGATAGCGAGTTTATCTCGACAGCTGAAGTCTGCCTGTCAAGGAAAAAGTTTGCCAGAGATGTTATCAGAGAACACTCGTCAAAAGCTATTGTCGTGGGAAATTAAGCCCTGGGGCTGAATTTCCTCAAAACTCTTCACAACTGTTCTTCCTCAGCAAGCGTCTTGTCAAGTTGTCTACCCTTGTTAATTTTAACAAGTCTTATTGTTTAAAACCTGACGTGTAAATTTTAGAACAAAGTTGGCTGTCAAGGTTAATTTTGTCATATTCTTCTCCCTATCCAAATGCCAACAAACGTTTGTCAAGGAAAGCTTGCAATTGTAAATACTACATTGTTCGATCGGGCGGAAAATTTCCAAGTAATTGACGAAGTTAAAAATGAATTCAAATGCGATATCATTTTCGCAATTTGATATGATCAATAAAGTAGGCGAGTCGCTTGGGTGGGATATGTTACTCTCTCGGAATGACCTAAATTGTGGTACCATGCATTTTTATCTGGCATTGACCAACTCTTACAAGGCACCACCCATGTAAACACAAATGTTTTCTGTCAACTAGCTTCACTTTGTAATTCAAATTGACCAGCGTTGCTCTGATACGATCGCAACTGACTCGCAGTACTTTTACGAGCTGTTTGGTTCATGAACAACGCAGAATTCAACAGGTATGGATATTTAATAATCTAATTTTTGTTCGAATTAGTTAGCAGTGGCTAAAAGGATAGCACGCTTCTGTTATTGAGGGGTAAGCAAGTTTTCATTTTTCGCCATTTACACGCATCGAAGTAGTTCGAAAAAGACAATTTTTTATCAACTATTCCTCATGTCAAATAGAATAATCTTTTTATTGGAGATGTCGGCTTTTGCTTTGCGAAACCGTTATACGTAATTTATGGCTCTTTTACTTCTCACGCGGAAAAAATGATTTTAACGGCGTTCTATATTTTCTCCTTAAGTGCAACGAAATAATTTGAATATTTACAAAGAAACATATCGCTTTTAAAGCTGTTTTTATGAACGTAACTATTAAGACAGGGCAGTTTCTCATATGCGGGAAAATATTTTTTATAAAGCTTTCTATCTGCTCTCTTTGAGCGCAACGTAACAATTGGAACATTTACGTTCTATGTGGCACCACAGCCAGTGATTTTCGGCTCAATTAAAACTAGTGGAGCTTAAGGACTTGCTAGTGGCTTCCACGCTTATAATGATTAAATAACGTTGTTAAACACTGCTAATATTATCTAAAAAAATCAACTCCTTCAAAGCTTCTGTAAAAAAACTCGCACCAGATATATATGCAACCATCTGCCACGCTGCGTACGTGTTCCGGGTGTTAATTAAAAAATTTTCAGCGGCTTACCGCAAAGTGATTGAATGCCTGTCACTGACGATAAGCCAACATTAGACTTTGGAAGAACAAATGGAAGAGGTACGGAAAGATGTGAGAGTGGGGTATTCAGCATAGCACTAATAAGGGAAATTGAGAAAGCTGCGTGTACATGATAACCGATGTTTAACACGGACAAACACTCATAAGTTACCCGCAGCCGCAGCGTCAATATTGATCCTGAGAACCTGCTCTTCAAAGAGCTCTGCACATCTCAGACCGCGCATTGTAAATTTGACGAAAATAAGGGACTTGTCAGAAATTAGCAGGGGGGAGGGGTGGTGGGAATTTTAAATTTGGGTTCGGAAATTAGGTGACCCATCCCTGCAATGGGAGTGAAATTTGCTAACCCTCCCCTTGAGCTTGGCCTAAAATATCAAGGCCCATCCCCCTCATGTAAAAATGTTAAAATCTAGTTCTTGCAATACACTAGGGTGCGTCAGTATTATTCATAATTTCAATAAGACTATATAGCATGGTTATAAATGAAAAGTACATGTTTGTTAAATTCTTGCTATAGTACTTCACAGTTTATATCCATAACGTTCCGTAAACCGTTGTATTTTTCGTCCAAATAAAGAACTTCCTTTTTCTTCTGAGGGTGAACCTCTACATGATCACGGGCATATATTTGCATGACCCTCCCCCGTTTAACTGCCCATTTTTCATGACTCAGACCGCGCATTGTAATTCTGACAAGTCCCTAAGAAAACGTGAGTTTTAATGGCCTATGTGTTCGTGTGTGGCTATGTTGTGATGTTTGTCAACTATAAACGTAAAGGGAATGCAAATTTAGAGGATGACACTCGCTGTGACATCCATCCAAACTCAGATATCTGATGATGATTTTAACAACGTTTTCAAAAGTTTTTGACAAAGTTATTTCGAATTGTAGTGTTTCAAAAATTTTCTCTGATGCCTTCTTGTGTCCAGAAATTTTTTTCAAATTTTTGCCGTGGGGCATGTGATTAATTAATTAACTTTTCAAGCTTTTCCGGTCAGAGAGTGACTGAAGTCTCGATTAGATATAGACCGATCTCTTTTAAAAGACTCTTTTTCTCAGATATCAGATATCTGAGATATCTTTTTCGAAGAAAAGCCAAATCAAAAACAATTATATTTTGTCAAACTACGATTTCATTTCCAGCACAGATGAAAAACTGATTTTGAGTCTCAAAATGGTCTTTTCAATTTATGACGAACATGGCATAAAAGTTTCTTGTGGCATTTCCTCCTTCGAGTAAATATCAGACTTAGAGCGGTCTTTTTTTCTCAGCGAAATCTGTGTCATGATTCCAAGAAAAAAATTCAGTGAAAAAAAAATTGTTGTCAGCGCGCCGCGCCTCACTTCCAGAGTTGCTGAGCCTATAAAATGTTTTGCTTGCCCAAGTTTACGAGGTGTAACCTTTTATTATTACAAGATAAGTCCATCAATGTTGATGGAAAATAGTTTATACTCTGTAATGCAAAATTTCAGCGAAGAAGACCGACAAAGAAACACAAGGCTCAAGTTTTCAACAGTAGAAAGGGTCGTTTACTAACTTCTCTCTTCTTCAATTTTCATGACAGGAATTCATAACAAGCTTGTTTTAGTCTGGTAAAGAATATGAACTCGTCGAGCTTTCAACCGCTAAATGGCAAACCTAATGTTTCCATTACTGGGTCGCATTTCATTGAGCCGGGAGCATCAAAGGTAGTTCGCCTCGTAGTGTTCTCGGTCATCATACTCGCCAGTTTGATCGGCAATTCATTGGTTTTAAAAGCAGTACTAGAACTTCCCAGAAGATACAAATCATTCACGTACTACCTGGTAGCAAATTTGGCTGTAGCCGAAATCATCAGCTCAATCTGCCTTCCATTTATCATGGTGTACTATGAGACGTACAGCTGGAACTTTGGACAGTTTACTTGTAGGCTGATTATTCCTCTACAAGTCATGGCTATTATTGTGGTTACAAGCGACATGGCGGCCATTGCTGTTTATCGCTATCGGGTAATGACATTCCCGGTTAAGAAACAAGTAAAAATATCCATAATGGTGGCGGTGATTGGAGGTTTATGGTTTGCAGCCCTTGCTTTATCACTGCCTTTAGCTGCAACACAGATTTTGGTGGAGTTACCATCGGGGCACAAAGTTTGCAAGTCAAACTTCTCAACCAGTGACCAGAAAATTTATAGCATCGTGAGATCTGTCCTCTCTTACTTAATACCTTACCTGGTCATGATATGTTCCTATGGAGTTGTGGCAGTTAAACTCAGGCGTCGTCAGCTCCGAAGAAGCGTCGACGAAGGGTCCGAGATAACTATGACTACGTCAGCATCACGAAGCAACTCATACGCAGACCCAAGAGCGGCGATCTACGTTCGTCCGAGGGCAGCTAGCAACTTAAACTCCAGATCGGGGTGCAAGTCTAACGTGGAGCTTGAACGCGACCTGTTAAGAATGATCTACGTTATCATCTTGTCATTTGTAGTTTGTTATATCCCCTATCAAGCGTTGTTTTTGTGGGAATATTTTGCAGGCGTGAATGGCCGTTACCACTTTCCTTATCAAAGAATGCTCCGCCGATATTTTTATGTGCTTACGTGTTACCCGAGTGCTCTTCACCCTTTGTGCTATGGTACAATGAACAGATTCTTCGCACAAGCTTTTTCTAAGATAGTAATGTGTAGGCGCTAACAAAAGCATCTTTCAAAAAGAAAACGGAAACTGAAGTCAGTAGATAGTCACTGAATCGAATCACGCTTAGCTCTAAGCTGTTGAAATAGGGGGACACGACGGGGGGGGGGGAGGGGAGGGGAGGGGAACGGGGGTGAACGGGTAGTGGAAGGAATTCACACTGCCCCGCACTTTCACACGCGGACTAATGGTTAGCGCTGCACGAGTTCACGAGTTCCCTTCCTTTCTACTATGAATTTGTTGATTCAGATTCCTTTTAATTTAGTAAAACAGCGTCAATTAAAATTCAGTAGCAGTATCCTATACATTTCTTAACTGGCCGTCGAGTAACTCGAAGAGTGAGGACCCTTAACCCTTTAACTCCCAGGATCTGATTATGAATTCTCCCTTCTCGCTGCTACACATTTCCTTGCAAATAAGTCACAAAAATTTGGTGTTAGATCAGGACCAACAATCTCTACCTGATAAGTTTGAATATCCTCATTACATGTAGGCCGGATAATGTGTGAATATCACAGGAAGAAATTACATATTAATCACTACTGGCAGTTAAAAGGTTAACTCTCAGAGGGGCTTATCAGGACAGTCGGATGTCATGGTAATCTCAGACGCGGACGTATCTATAATAAAGAAAATAAGGTAATACAAAAATAAATATTTCTGCAAGTAAATTTTGAGTTCACAACTTAGAATAAAGATATTTATTAACTATAGATCTGTAAAGTCTACAATGTAAACTGCAATATTATCATGACGTGAGCCCCCTCAATGGGAGGACGACATCTGAGTTTGTCTAATAAATAAATGTTGCACAAAACCTAGAGTGTAAGTCACCAGAAATGGAAATCCTACAAAAAAGAATACGGATAGTGCTAAGATTTCAACAAAAACAGACTGCAAAAAATTTGGTTTTGGGAAACACTGAAGTACAGAAAAGGATTTCAACCCATTCAGGACCCTCGTAAGTAGTAGTTACACAGAGAGCTAATCTTACTTTACATAAACTATTGGTACGATCACCCCTTATTTAATTCGTAACCGATTACTGGTGTTCGATTACGGTCAACTATTCGATTACACTGTCCGATTACAATTGTCCAAAGTGATTGGTGAAATATAAAGCAGCTGATGCACCAATCACATGTGAGGAAATTGTAATGGTTATGACTAATTCGTAACCTCAAGTCTTAAGTTACTTATGAGCATAACCTATAGTACTGTGAATGATCTTGTTATTTAAGCAATATGGCAGGAGAAATGACGCAATCACACATGTGTAGCCCTTTCCACACATGGGTGCATTTCCCAGTTCTCATGTTCAGATTAACTTTCCTCAGTACTTTCGAACCTTGATTTATTTCCAAAAGACTTAATCGCTTCATTAGTAGATTACAAACATATTCCGACTGTGCATGTCCCTCACTTTCAACTGCACAAGTTGAGCAGACCTGAAATGCAAGGCAGTTTTCAGCAACAGAATTGCTGTTAACAAGAATTCGCGGTTAATTATATTAAAAGCCGATACAGCAACCTATGTTACACAATCTAAGATCACAATTCAGTTAAATTATATCTTTTATACAAACTGTAGAATAACCATAATAACTAACATCTGACGATCTCGAACATTCTTTCCACAATCTCTTTCTCCATTTCGTTTCCTTTTTCTAGTCTTTTTTTTGCCTCTAAATTTGGATTATTTCACAAAAGCTAAACGCTACAGTCAAAGATTAAAAGGTTCCTCACGCTTTATAAACCTAGGCAGAACAAAAACTTAATGGAGAGCCAAATGTCTAAGCATGCTTGCCTAGAAATCGGTTGCAGTGTCTATGTAATCTGGAGGATAGGCGTGCTCACTTCAGTCAAAATCTCTGTCTGGAAATAGGACTGGAGCAATGAGGGTCCAGATAAACAGCAGCAGACCCATCCAACTGGAAGTTATCTTGATCCACACTGCCACACTGCTGTTTGTAAGGTTGTGGATGTTACTGGATTCTGGCCTGAAATTAAAGCAACTTGTATTTAAATAAAAAGTTTAGGCTGACAGCTGACAACGCAAGACTAAGGCACCAGGTATGAACATTTTAGATTGTTTTAAAAGTTGTACTAAATGGAATTTACTCTTTCCATGAGGAGAAAATCAGTATATGTTCACGTATTCTCCTAAGCAAATTACACTTCCAACAACAATCTAGAATAAGGAAAGGTGTTTCTTTGTTTCATCACAGGGCTGTGACAAAGAAAAACTTCTGAGTCCCACTGAGGAATTGAACCTCAATGCCTCTAAGGTTCAATTCTTCAAAAGGACCAAGAATTTTTTTCTTTCTCCCATACTTGTGACTACATCATTAAGGGGCTCAAAATTTACCATCTTGTCCCATTTACAACATTTTAGGATGTCATTTAAGAAAAACTAATGACAAAAGAGACATAACATAGAGGAAGTGGTAGCACAAAAACTCTTCAAAGCTGCATGTGTTATTGATTGTTTAGAAATTTTGATAAAGTGTTCTAGAATATACATTATCCATCTACAATTCTGCTCCCAAAGAGCACAGAAATATAACTTGGAACAATTTATGCAGTCACTTACTTGTACCAGTTTGTCAGGGTCATCATGACGTAAAGGGAAGCCAGGAACAACATAAAATGATAAAATGAGTAACTGTAAGCCACCTGATCTTGTTCATCATCATACACCTGCTGTCTGTTCCCTTCTTCCATCAGGTTTATGTCACTGTTAGCACCTCCCTCTTCACGAAGGGTAGTAGCCTCAGTGCTACCTGTCGCACTTGCTGCTGGGTTGCTCATACCAAGTTTTCCCACTTGTGAGCTGCTTGCTGTCCTAACACTTGCATACACAACCATGAGAAACATCACCACAACACCAATGATGGCTTGGTTGTCAATGCTCTTCACAGAAGGATCAGCGTTTACAAAGGGGTTACATGAAGGATCTGAAATAAAAATTTGGTCAATGTTATTAGTCTGCATATTCTCCATACTGTTCTCTATACATTTCCTGAGGTGTTGACAAGGAGAATTTGTTTAACAATCAAGAGCTTCTTTAGTTGGTGATCATTTCCTTAAATCTTGTGACCTTAATGTTTTATTCAAGGCTGATATTGTAGGGAGAAATAAGATGCTGGTCACTCTTAGGGGTCAGAGGGTAAACAACAAGTAGCACTCAGTCTAGAAAAGCAAAGTGAAATGGTCTTGAACAGGTGATATGCTATGAAAACCAACCACACAACTACCATGCAAGTCTTCATCTGGAATTTTTTGAGTAAAAGAAACGTAGGGAAATGTTGGTGAGGATGGACATGGAAGGATCTGAAAAAGCAAACATCAGTTGGAATTCAGAGGAGAATTCTATTTTAACTCCTGGAAGTGATTACTATATAACTTCTCCCTATAATATCCATACAATATCCGGCAAACAGGTGGAGAGAATACTCAAACTTATCTGGTAGAAATTGTTATCTTGATCTAAGTGTAACACCATATTCTTGTGACTAATTTAAGAGGAAATGCATAGCTGCAAGAGGGAGAATTGCAATCAGATTTTGGGAATTACAGGGTTAAAGGAAAGAGATAGGCTAAGATCTAATGAGTATGGGATGGTTAAATGTTGACTTATACATATTAAAGGGATTTCTTAATCATCCACCTGGGTTGTACAGTAGCGCTGACCAAGTCAAGTAGACAGCATAGAGTGTAATGACTGCTGCTTGGAGCAAACCTGAAAAAAGGAAGAATTTAACAATCACACTACACAAGGTATCATCAAAGACTCATATAAATTGTGATTAAAAATATAAATCACACTTGATTTGCCTGCTGACTAATCTTTCATCTGAAGGTCATAAGTTTGAGCACTACCTTACTTTGTGGAAATTATTTTTGTGAAAAAAACCTGCAAAATTTCCAAGCCAGAAAGTACTAGAAATTGAGATCTCTTAAATTCTCAAAGAACATACCAGATCTGGGCTGGCGTTCCTGTATCTTGGGGTGAATGGCCAAAGCTGATGCAATTACACACAGGATCAAATTGAAGCTGATGAAAAACTTGTTGGTATGACATTTCTTCTCAGGCGCACCATCTACACCATGCGTGAAATAGATGTACAAGCAGATAATTCCTGCCACAGCAGTGCCGTACATCAAGAATGTAAAGAAAAGCAGCAGCCCTGCCCAGACTTTGGAGCCACCCTCTTCCATTTTTTCAACCCAAGAGCTGTTCCATGAATGAGCAAAGTCCACAAGAAGAACCAGTTGGATCAAGATAAACAGGAATGCCCCAATCAGGCCAAAGTACATCCAAACTGACAAATAATCAGACCAATGTGTTTGAACCTTTATCCTATACATATAGCCATAACCTGAAGGCTTTATAAAGTAACTAACCCAAGATACTATGACTGCCCTGATTGGTAAAAAACCTGCCATTTATTGCAACAGTAAATCCATAGAAAATTGAGGTGATTTACAACTTCTCTTGTGTTGAATATGGCATTGTGTTCTCTCAAAATCCCAAGTGGGTTATACCATTAAATTGATGGAAAGTTTGGTCTATTGCTTATATGAACTAAGACTTAAATATTTTGCTATTTATCCCAATTTAGCTTTTAAAATTTATGAGACCTTCATGTGATGGGTAATAGAAGTTTTTTTGGATAAGCTATTTCAACATATGGTCTGTAACTGCTTGGCAACAATCAGCAAGTAAAACAATTTGCTAGAATGAAACAAAGCTAGAATGAAACACCTTTTGCTTGAACAAAATGTTTAAACAAAGTCATGTAATTACATTCTAATCATTCCCCTTTAACTCCCGGCAGTAATTAATTGGACTTGTCCCTATAACATTCATACATTATCCAGCAAATAGCTAATGAGAACACTCAAACTTATCAGGTAGAAGTTGTTATTTTGATCTACCACTAAATTCTCATTACTAATTTACAAGGAAATGTGTAGCAGCTAGAGGGGAGAATTGACCATCAATCTTAGAAGTTAGAGGGTTAACAACTTGAAAAATTAAAAAATGAAAAGATTTTGACAGACATCAAATTAAATGGCAAGACACTAGTTGCATATACTTGCAGTACCTTCAACAAAAGTTCCAGTTGGGATGAAAAAAGCTCCAACAATAAGGCCAACATAAATCAAGACCTTGAGACCCCAGAAGCCATTTTGTATTCCAGACCTTGGATCTTTACTACTCTTTACACCATACATGATGAGGCAGAAGAAAAAGAAGAATGCCGCCATGGCAAAGCAGATACGATACACTGCTAGGTACCCAACGAGGCTGTCACAAATCTTGTCTTCTTTCTGTTAAACAGAGTGATTAACAACTTACTGAGTAAAGTTTAAAAAATTATGTCTAAAGCCAGTCAATCATATTATCTACATGATATCCCAAAATTCTTACTAGTGTGGTCAGTAAGATAATCTGAATTTTGTCATTTATCAGTACTCCGAGCTTAAGCCATTTTGGTCACAATGGTGCCTGGAAAATTTCTGTGTTTAGCAGTTGTGTAACACAAAGTAACATAATTATGATAAAAAATTGATGCAAAATTAATAGTACAGTGAAACCTCTGTTAAGCAGACACCCTTGGGACCTTCATAACTGCTCACTTAATAGAGGGTGTTCACTAAATGGAAGTTTGTAAAAATAGCACAACGTTTGTTAATGATTAACATTCAAAGGTTACTCTGTACTGTGATTAAGTTCTATGTTGTTAATGAAGCTATCCAGAGTTCAAGTTCATTACCTTGCACAAATACCAACTTTAATTTGTTGATAATAATGCAAAAACATAACAGCAAAACAGCAACGATAATACATGCAGTACATTGACTCTCTGATTACATTTAATGTACTATTTCAAGGACATAATCCAATATACTTCATTGTCAATCCAGTCCAGTGTCTGCTAAATAGGGATTTATAACAATAGAAATGAGCCAAATACAATTCATTTTAGTGTCTACGTCCCCTTAATAAAGATGTTTACTTAATTGGGGTTCGTTGTAAATGGAAATATAAGATGTTAATTTCGGATTTAATCATCCACCTGGGTTGTATTGCAACACACATAACAGTGTCCACTTAACAGAGGGTTTCTGCTTTATTGTGGGTCTGCTTAATAGAGGTTTCACTGTATTAGTAAAATGCCATAATAGTGTAAGGCAAAACGCATTGTTCCAGAATAAAAAATGCATCTCATCCATGTCATTGCAGCACAGGGCCAACACACCCTGCTGGCAACTCTTATTGCATTCTCAAACAAATATAACATTGAGAGACTGTCTATAACCCCTCTTTAGAATTACCACTACCCTCTCTGGGCTGAGTATGTGTGTTTACTGGAATCTCACTACAAATCTTCTGTAAACTGGGAAACCGCATTAGATTCAAAACGATATTTATCAAGGGATTGATTAACACCACACAATATGGCCGCTGAAATGGCCGACGCAACGTCATGAAAAAAAGAGCAATACTGAAAGTCTCAAAGGAGAAATGGTAATATTTTCCACGTATTAAACGAGAGAATATCTATTACAATATCGATATGATTTTTTTGCGGTTTGGTAACGATATGGTAAACTGAAAGCAACATTAAGAGATCCGAAAGCTCTGTAGACTTGCTCAGCAGGAAATCACATGAATTTCACTTAAAAACAGACGACAATTCAACGTGTGTTTTCCCCTGAAGCGACTTCTTCTTTCCCATTAGCTTAAATTTAATAGTTAATACAGAAAAAAAAATTCCTGTAGGATTCTGTTACTAAACTATTATCAAATTTCCTATTGAATCAGGCATTAGTAGGTATCGCGCTTTACAAGGTATTCAGGGGACGAATTGCTCGCTTTTAGGTGTTTTGTAATTGTAGAACACTTTACTGATCTTACCTCACAAAACTTTGGTATTTTATCCATCTCTTCTCTTATTCCTGGTATGAGCACAATACATGACAAAATTAACCCGAAGAGTAGAAAGATAGAGTAGACAATCCTCGTCGATGTAGAGTTCTTGCATGAAGGGCAAGCGTTACAGCACAAACTACAAGCAGCAGAACCACAACAACATGCTATGTTGGCAGCACAAGTAGCCGCCGAACAAACACCCAGAACAGCTCCCATTTTGAGGAGGAATGTGTTGAGTACTCCTTACTTTCTTGGGGACAAAACAATTGCTCTTGGTCGTTATGATGGTTCCAATAACAGATTGTCGCGCAAATTATTGACAGTCTTGCAAGTGAGATTGCGGTCAGCAGTATTTTAAGTAGTATATGACGTATGGTCTCTAATGTTGAAGGTGACGTCTTACTGAAACAGCTATTTTTAGATCTGGGTCAAATCCTTCGAAAGAGCGGCAAAACATCCTTTCAGACTACTTGAATTTCATGTTTTCATGTTTGTGCCACGATAAAAGTGTTCGTCTAAAATTTGATTCAAGATGAGAAAGCGTTAGCTCTTAATACAGAAGAGGGAACATGTTTTCTTTTTCATAGGGCCATACCAGAGCTAGCTCTAAAAAGTAAACACTGATGCAGTTTTTCAATGGTTTTGTCAGCTATGTTTGCAATTGAAAAAAAACTTGTTAAGGCAAAACATGTCAAAAACAATTTGTCGTTGATACAAACAAACAAGTAACCCTTGTCAAGGAAAACTTGCTTACAACCGGATTTGATGAGAAAATACAAGTTTTCAAAGAATGTCCACAATCTTTCTTGCTAAAATTGTTTAACTGACAGGATCAAATATGTTTGTTTACATCACAGTTCAAATAATACTACAGAATAAGTTTCATTTTTTAATAAAAATAGCCATACATTATTTCATTGAAAATTTCTCTTAATTAAGAATCATTGTCTATTTAATATAAATTCACGCAAATCTTTCTTACCATAGGCAATGCAATAAAATCATTCTTGAAAGTCAGAGTCCAGTATTTGATTAATGTCAGTATCTGAGAAGCTGTATACCCTCCTCTCACCTCCCCCTTACTCAACAACAATCAACTGATAACAAGTTCATGGAGGAGAGGAGTAGGTGCACAGATACTAACATTGGTCCCCAGTATTCATGGCTCTTTTTCAAAGCAAAGGGATTTTGCAAGATCCGATGCAAGATCTGCATCATGTCTCCAAACATTAATATACAACAATTAAATAAAGAAATATAATTTAAAAATCTCTAATCATATGTACACTGAAAATTGAAACCAAAACCAATTTTTTAAAATATAATTTGCTAATCTTTTAATATTTTCAAAACCATTGGCTATTCCATTGCAGTTAATCAATACTGCCCTAACAAAAATATTTCTTTTTTCTTTTAATTAATTAAATTTGTGATTCCAAATAATTCATACCCAATTAATTATCAAATTAAATTTAATCAAAATTTATATGATGCATGTATTTAAATGACTAGTGTGGTCAACTGTTTAGTACTTCCATAATTAAATCAAGTTACCTTATCTTCATGTAACTAAATTGCTAAATTTCCATGCCATTTAAAGTATGATTGAATAAATTACTTGAAAAGACATTTTGCAGATACTTATGACCACAATAAAGTACATCGGCATTTCATAAATAGAAAAAACAACAAATTATCAGACACCTGTGTGCCAGTCACAACATAATCTTAAAACTAAGAGTTTGCACACTACTCTAATGATTTGTCAACAAAATTTCTGAATTTCTACCATAAAAATCAGACTACCCTGCCTGATCAATATTGGTAATAGGACCATGTGGAGTCCAATTTGGTCTGTAGTCAAATGAGTGATTGCAAAATCAAGCAACTGTGAAGAGGGACTCCCATTTGTCCATTAAAAGTATGATACAGACCACATTGGACGACACAGTCCTTTTACCAATTAATCATAACTATTACAATTTCTGAAACAAAAAAATATTTATTTGAGAAAATATCTCCAGTAAAGACATGGTCTAAAGTAAAAAGTTTCTCCACTTTGGAAAGTCCCTAGTTTTGTAGGGTAAGTGGTTGTTGCTGTGGTTATTGTAAATAACTCTGTGATTGGTGAGTTTAATTGGGTGAACCTAGTATGATTGGCTGCTTTAACATTCTGATTATCAGTGTCCAATTGAAGCCAACTGTCTGATTACACTGATGCATTACAACTCTATAACTAATTAGTGAAAAATAAAGCAGCTGATGCCCCAATTGCTTTTGAGGAAATTGAAATGGTTATGATTGATCAAATAAATGATTCAGGTCCACTTCATGAGATATATGAATGAAGTATGAATAAAGTCATTTGAAAAATAGATTGATTACATAACTATAACAACAATATAATACATGATTACAATATCTGTTAAAATCAGTGCCATAAACAAAGGAAACTACTGTGTGCCAGCCACAGCCTTTGTAATGATTTGCAATTGTATCTATGTTGAGAAAATAAAGCAATAATCTGAAAAAATTTTGGAAATTGAACTATGAGATGCATTTGAAAAATGAGCTTTCATACAGCTGGAAAATAAAATATCACTCTTAATCGCAACAATCAAATAATTGGATCAAACAAGATAGATTCCAGCAACAGAATGAACCGTAGCTAGAGAGCATGACCAATATTGTTTAAGAATAGAACCATCAGGTTATCAAAAGTTTTAATTTTAAGCCTCATCATGAACTGGGAACTTAGAAAATTGACTTAAGATCTCTAGGTGAAGAACCCCCTTTATCTCATAATCTTCTTGGGTTTCAGACCAACGACTTTACCATCAGCTGCTAGCAAAATGACTGCAAACTTTTCCCATAACAGAAGAAACCAGTAGTAAAAATAGCTCTTGCATCAAGTCATCCAAACCATTTGCTTTTTTTTAAGAATGATCAAAATGAAATCCTTGTTTGTAGAGCTGTTTTAATTTCTCATTATTATCCCTAATTCCCCGCTAGCCTGATTACCAAACACCAATGTGTATCACAAGCTGTCCCCATTGAAATGGTCAGTGCTATGTCGTATAGCCTTGCCCTTTGATGACGACTGACTACTTTCCTCTCCAAGGCCAGAACATTTTCCATTTTTCCTTGTATCTTTTATTGGTGACTTTGAACTTTCATTGCTTTGCTCCTCAGTTTCTGTCATAATTGTTACATTTTCAGCTATGATTGTGTCATCATCACCATTTTCAACTTTGACTCTGTCGCATTTCAATTCTGCCTTACAGCCCTTCTCTGGAGTAGTGTTTGTTGTATCAATTTTTTCCATGATCGCATCTTTCGCTGCAGTTTCAAGTTTCACTTCATATATAGGAGATGTAGGGTCACTCTGTGGTGTTCTCTCATTGGTATTCAAGCTTGTGTTAATAGATGGTGGAATACTGACTGGAACTGGAGCCTGACTAGGTATAGGCACTGCAGGTGACATTACAGACAAAGGCTGTAGAGGAGGAGGTAGTGACATATCTCCACATGTGATTGGCTGCAAGGGTGGTGGCATTGGTAGTGTTGTCATGGGAATGGGATGCATTTGCATCATGGGGGCACCTGCAGCCATTTGTGCAATATTTTCTGGTAGATGTGGCATTCCAGGCTGCAATCCATCCATTCCTGGTGGCATAGATACAATGACAGGCATCTGGCTCATGCCTGATACCTGCATTGGATGTTGCTGATGTGCGATGCTACTAATAGGCATCATTTGAGGCTGTGCTGCTACTTGACAGGTAGGAGTGTGTCCAGCTGGTGGTGGTGGCATCATGGCTAGATTGATAGGCATTCCCTGTGGAGAAACACCTGGAACAAAGTTCCCCATTAAAGCTATTCCCTGTTGTTGACCTAGTGAAACCCCACCTTGTTGCCCTGGAACCATTTGCTGCACCTGACTAATTTGACCAGAAGGCAGAGGTATGTGCTGCACATGTTGAGTTGTTACTGCTGGATTAGTCAGTCCAGAAGGATTTGGGAGCCCTGAATGAGGTGATGTTGCCTTGGAACCAGTAGGTACTGAAGTAGTTATGATGGGGTGTGGGATCACTGGTGACATTGCTGTGTTTGGAGTTGGGGATGCCAGTTGACCTGCATTACACAAAATACTCTGACATATGTGCATAAAGGAATAATGTTAACAATGACTAGAGAAGATGCTTGACTTGCTATTAACCCTTTTAACTCCCAAAAGTGATTAATATGGAGCTTTTCCCTACAATATCCATACATTACTCAGCAAAAAGGTAATGAAAACAATCAAACTTATCATTTAGATGTTGATATCTTGATCTAACATCAAATTCTCTTTACTAATTGATAAGAAAATATGTAGTAGCTAGAGGGGAGAATTAATAATCAGATCTTGGGAGTTCAATGGTTAAGTGTACCACAATTTCACTCTATGTTAAATAACATCTGTACAAAGTTCTCCTTTGAGAAGAGTTGATTACCAAATAAATCTTAAATAATTCCTACTGAGCTGACAAGGAAAATTTGTTTAGCAATTAAAAGCTTCTTTAGTTGGTGATCATTTCCTTAATTCTCATGACCTTGATGAATGATTCAGAGGTGATATTGTAAGGAAATATTGGATAATTGTCACTCTTAGGAGTTTACGGGTTAATTTCTATCAATTGGTTATCCTGTGGTAACCATTTACACTCCAGGGAGGGGAGAGGCACTGTCTACAGTGTCTTGCCCAAGGAAACCTCACAATGATCCAGCCATAGCTAAAACTTGGACCTCTTGATCTAAAGTATCCAGTGCTAGACACTATAAACATGAGAAGACAAGAATAAAAAAATCAATTCCCAGGGTGTCCAAAATGTAAACTGATAAAGGTATTTCCTTTATCCTTGAATACCAATGAGAGAACACCACAGAGTGACCCTACATCTCCTATATATGAAGTGAAACTTGAAACTGCAGTGAAATTGAGGTGGTTTGGCATTCTTTTTTCTAAAGTGACTCTCACCTGGTGTTGTAACAGGAGCCTCTGGGAAGCTTGAGGCATCAATTGCCAGTTTAAGTCTGAATGTTTCCTCTTTGCGTCTGTTGGCAAACCAGTTATAAACACGGCTCTCAGTTACAAGATTTGGACCTAGTCCCTCCACATTATCGTATGGTACACCTCTCTGACTGCACTCCGCCCTGTTACAAGCTTCCACCAATGCTTCCCTGAGGTACAATATTTCACGATTAAATTTAAATTGGGCTCAAAATTTTTTTAATAAATGAGAAGTGAGAGAATACATACATCAACACAGATATACAAGTTTGTGATCATGTTACCGTTCTTCCTTAGAAGGATTTTTCTGTTCTTCATATGACTGATACAGGATACTTGTGGAAGCTGGTCCCCATTTAAATCTGTTTCTTCTTGGTTTCTTTGTTGGACTTCCTTCCACTTCTTCACTTTCTGAAACTTGTCTCTTACCAGGAGTGTTGTATTCTGTTGATGAAAATAGACATTGAATCAGAGAGACTACCTTGTCGCAAGTCCCTTGTTAGCTTTGATTTAACTTTTAGAGGAGTTAATCTTGTAGGTAATGAATCCTGCATTACGGGTAAATAGAAAAAAGACTTATATACTCAGGTATTGATTTTTAATATTTTTTTATTAACCCTTTAACTCCCAAGATGTGATTGTTAATTCTCCCCTCTAGCTGCTACACATTTCCTTGTAAATTACTTATGAGAACTTGGTGCTACATCAAGATAGCAGCTTCTACCTGATAAGTTTGAATATTCTCTTTACCTGTTTGCTGAAGAATGTATGGACATTGTAGGGAGAAGTTTTATGTTAATCACTTTTGGGAGTTAAAGGGTTAAGATTTGTGTTATCTTCTTTGGGACCCTTCTATTTAAGAAAAAGATTCCATGTTGCTGTGTGCTGTTCAGTTTAAGATCACAGGTGACTTTAAAATGTGGTAAGAGCAAAAAGAAGAAGAATAAAGAATAAATGCATCTATTCCATTTGTACTCTTCAACTTTTCCACACATTGTTGATATGCGCATCACATTGTTATAACATTGTAATAAAAATGCAAAAAATTTCCTTACGCTCAATGATTTCTTTCCTCTTGTTCTCAAACCAAGTATAGAGCGCTGCTCTTTTGCTTGTCTTCATAGGAGTACCCTTATTAAGATGCTGTGATAAGTGACTCTGATTCAAACCAGTGGATTCCACCACTTCCCGCTGTGGAATGTTGTGTTGCTGCATATACATTTTAATCACCTTTGCTGCTTGCCATGGGTCCATTCTAGGTAATTTAGAAAAATTCAGCCTCAGACTATCTTATTGTCCTACAATTTTAAGAACTTAAAAAAATAATAAAGTGAATTTTCTTTAGTTGATGCCTGTTACCATTTCCACTGTCTGCCCCCTTAACCCTTTGACTTTCATGAATGACCAAAACAGAATTTCTCTTAACAATACACAATAACATCAGGCAATGAAGTGATGAGTAAATAAAATATCTATTAGAGGAATATTGGTTGATCCAATATTAAATTCTCTGAACCAACAATATAAGAATTGTATAGCAGATGTTTGGTAGACAGTAAGAAGAATTACTGATTTGATCTTGGGAGTGAAAAGGTCAAGTGTCCCATGATTGTCATTGAAGATAAACATCGTTTGCTCCAAGTCTTGAAGGCAGAGATACCAACCTATGAAATCCAAAATCTAAAGATGTTTGATTTTGGAACATGTCCACTGCCTTTAAACAGGGACTGCACAGAGGGAGGGGCTGGGGGGGACTTTTATCCCCCCCCCCACTTTTTTGCAAAAATAAAAATAAATGAAACCAAAAAAAATTAACAAAAATAATGGAGCCAAAAATAGCTTCCCCACTCAAAAACTTGCTGCGGGGTCCCTGTTAAATTTTTACTTCCCACTATCTTGTCTTTGTCTCTTCCTACGAACTGAGAATACTGAATGAACACCCACAGCCTGGAACCATTCCCACTGTCCCCCACCCCCAACCCCTAAAAATAATATATATATATATATATATATATATATATATATATATATATATAGAGAGAGAGAGAGAGAGAGAGAGAGAGAGAGGAATATACAACTATGGAGAGAGAAAAATATACCTCTTATTGACTGAGTTCAGGGTCTGTACTTTAGGTTATGGATCGAGTTTTGTTCACTTCTATCTATGGCCAATCATGAGGTGCAGGCCATAAAACCAGGTGGAAAGCAAGATTTTGTTAAGTACAGTACAAAAGAGAAAATAAGTATAGTAAGGTATGTATTATGCATCTGCTTTTAAATAGAAGGGAAAGATTTTAATTGAAACAAACTTTGAATTTAACAAGGTGCACAGTGGAATATTGCCAACTAAATTGATCATTAATGGGGCACTTACTGACCCAGAGATATAATTTATTGAGTTCTCCTCTTCTACAAAAAAAGAGTCATTTAACATTCATTTTAAAAAGTTATGAAGGAATTAGGAGATTTATTTCATTTCTCAGAGACTTTCAGATACTTCAAAGAAGGTGGAAAATGTAAATATTTCCAGGATGGAATTGGTCAGAGAGCAAGAGCAAACCAGTTCCTTAACCCTAAAAGTGACTGACTTCTACTTTCTCATCCCAGTATCACCCTTGAATAAAATGTTAAGGTAATGAGAATAATGGAAATGATCCCCAGTTTAAGAAGCTTCTGATTGTCAAACAAATTCTCCTTGTCATTACTACAGGAAATTTAAAAAGATCAGGGTAGAGAATATGAATACTGATGTTAGTGTAGGATTGTTAGCACCAATATATTTAGTAAGCCTATTGTTTCCTTTATGGGGTGTGTGGAACGCACCTAAATGTGTGTAATTTATTCAAAATGCTCTTGCGGCTTCAGCATTTTAAATCTCGTTGCTTTTATAGAACTGTTATTCAGTTTATTTTGGTTTACCTGAAACACAACTGCAGTATACAGTACAGTTTATGTAGCCATTTCCAGGACAATGACAAATGTAAGAGTCATTTTTTGGAATTGTCTATTTAGGTTTTGTGTCGCTTTTGGCTTGGATTTTTCTCTTTTGTAACTTTTGTTTATAAGTTTATTTCTTTCAGTTTCAACCACACACTGCCCTAAAGTATCGCTCTACTGCAAGGTATCTTCTCACTGCTTGTCAAGTGAATAAGGACTAAATACGTGTTAAAATGTGATTCCTGGTGTCGCATCAAATCTGCTGTGTTGTCTGTTATAGTTAAGGTGTAAAAGGTTAAACATGCTGTTTGGTATCTTTCCATACATAATTAATTTTCTTTCAACTTTTTTAAAACTCTATGTGACCAGCAGGAGTTATTGTCAAGTTTTGATAGTTCACTTCACACCTTGTTGTCACTGAATATGGGTTTCACTCAATGCCACACTTTTTTAAAATAGCACAGGCAATATGGACTGTAAAAGGCACAGCTTAATTTTTCTCCCTTGAAAAGATTAATTTTCAGGAAAAAAAAATTACAACCTTCTTATCCTAGTACACCGCAATGAACGCACACAAAAGTCTTTCAAAATGATGATAAGAAATTTTCTGCTCAATCCCGTTAATGTGAGTCCATTTCCGGTGTAGATAATGGTTGTTTTGGATTTTTTTCATTGTATACATTTCGTGCAAGCTACGAGGAAACTACTACAAAAAATGTCGCTGTGACACAAGTTTCAAACGCACTTGCCTGAGGAATACACCTTAGTTATACAACTGATATTATTGTTAGCGTCACCTCATATATTGTCTTTCGATCAGTTGACGACCATGGAATTCTCATGGCCTCGTGAGATAAAATTTCAAAGGGTGTGAAGAAACACGAAGAAAGCGAAATATAAAGCAGATATCCTTCGAATGCATCGCTTGAAACAACTCTTGTAAAGCATCGAACGCTTAAGTCAACAGTTCGCTTCGGTGAAGCTTTTCCGACGACGATTCTAAAGGAACGTGTCGTTAGAAGAAAGAGAAAGTGCCTAATTATTGCTTCCCTCTCGTCTGTCAACGAGGATGCAATCAACAACGAAACCTTACTGCGCCGAAGAAGAGAACGAAGCAGGCTACAGATAAAAAAATAGCGAGAATTCGTCTTGCTCCGCCATGCTACACTCAATACGAGTATTGTATATTTATGCCTAGAACTCCACTTCCTCTGCGCTCTTCAAGTTAATATTTAATTGCCTTTCTTTATGATGGACCCGAGCAAATCATTAACGCGATAGATTTTCTATTCACAACACAATATAAGTTGGGAATTGATTTCATAAATAATGCAAAGCGACCCCGTTACATTACATGATCGTTTCACACAAGAACGTGTGTTTCTCGCAATGAAGCCTGTTGAAAATCGACATTTGCCAATACATCTATTAGTTTTGGTCGGCTGATGGAAAGTTCAGGTGAGAGGAGGCGTTGGTTTTGGTGACGGATCAGTTCTTCGGCGTGATCTGTGCGCCAGACCGTGTGATGGAAGTCAAGTTTTTATTCCGGCGAACTGATGCGAATCGAACATTCGATCGATACAAGTCGCGTGCCACCAGTTAAGGTTAACAATAGGCAAGTAAAGTTTTTAGATCGGCGAACAATGGAACTACGCGTGAAATCAAAATACGTTCGATGAAGGGAAGAAAAGACGCGCTCTAGGGAGTACAAAAGATGAGTTATTCACGAGGTTAAAGAAAGCCGGTTAAATATAAAATGCAAGTAACGTATTACACATGCAAAGTTTCTTATCCTCAATCAACTTGCAACAGAACTTGGAAACAGCGAATGCGAATTTAAGTCCGCCCACCAAGGGATCTCCGACAAATGCATTATGCGCCATGACTCCAAGAAGTGGAAGTCGACTACGAGGAGTAAACACTTACCCGAGCATTTGATCAACAAAGCTGACCTGTTGTGCCTCTAAGCTCACGTCTCTTATCAACCTTCTCTGAGGAGCTTCATCGAGTTTGACTGCCTCGCTTTTGACCTGAATACCTTGCAAATGATCGCTGGAGTTGTGCTTGGGTTGTTGCTCTGCAGCTGTACCATCTGCGCGTTGAGCGCTCTGCGCCAATTTTGCGTACAACTCATCGCAAGCGCCAAGAAGGGCGTCTTTGGAAATGCCACTGCTGATCAGAGCTCGCAGTAACTCTCCTTGTAAGGGTGTGATTTCTCGACTGCTGGCGTTTCTCGCCATAGTGTTGTGCATCGCTTGTTGGTATATGTGAGCAATCGCTCCGTTCTCCTGGTAAACAGGACCAGAACATCGTATTGAGCATGCATTCATTAATGGTCAGCGCGGCGGTTTTGCGGGAACATTGCACTTGACTCCTGTGGTGTATTTATCTCCTCATTCAATTCGAGGATCATTAACTTCTTTTCCAAATAAATTTTAGGTTGGTCGTAACTGTTATATGGAAGCTACCATATCATTTTCACACCAAAAAAGAAGGCTAAGGGTTCTTCTTTGAAAGGTAATTCTCAACATGATAGGCAGATTGTGAGCACGTTTCATTTTACAAAAAAAAGGCAAAAAACGACAGAAAAACGCCAAAAAACTGACAAAATCGATAAAGAAAGAAACAATGACGGCCAAAGGAAAACAGAGAGCTCTTTGTGAAAAAATACATAGAAATATAACCTACTACAAAATTTGGGAGGGGATCTAACACGGTAGCTTTACAGGTTCCAACCTTCTCGCCTCATCTTAACAGCGAGCAAGAATTGTCGACGAGGTGGAGGTCAAGGCAATCGATATTCCAAAACAGAGTGCAAAATCACAGCCAATATGGTCTCTAGTAACTGTTTTATTATCGACAAACGTTTTTTTAAACGATGAATACAGTATACGCTCGTGGCTGAGATTCATTCTACAGGCCTAGCCTCTATCATACAATTCTTACGATCAAATTTATCCTACATCAAAGATCTGCGTGAACACACCGACCGCTTCGAGAGTAAATTCAAACTGTTTTTTAAGTGTACTTCATGAAACTTCCTGTAGTAAAGAGAAGTTTCTTTTTGCTTTTCTTTTGCTTCTTTCCACTGTTCCGTTCCCCTGTAGCGCCTAGAGGGAACAATTATACAGCTTGTTAGTTAAAAGATCAAAAATCAAATGGACATGCGCTTTTGGCCTAGTTCTCTATAAATACGCTCGAATCGACAAGTCTTTTATCCAGTCAGCATCTACGGGCAACTCCCACTTGTCTCTCAACAACACGACCACCTCAACTGAACTGACCCAATTTTTCACCTTCAGCCCTTTACGCCCTCCATTAGTATTCATATTCTCGGCTATGTTCTCTTTATTCAGGATGGTACTGACAGGGAGAATCTGCGAGACAACCAGGAGCTCCTTAAATTAGCCATCATTTCACAGACCCGATAACTCGATAATTTCTCGTGGCTTCTCCAAGAATGTGAGTTTAATTACGCGAATGAACGGTAGAGTAGAGACAACAAGCCTCACCTTGACTTTCCTGGTAAAAGCCACTTCTGGTCCAGTCAGCTGCGACCAGAGCCTCGGTGAAGGCAGACTGAAAAGTAGGCACTGGCGCACAGTCCTCCTCGTCCTCGTCTTCCATCTTCTTCCTCGCTGATGCTACAAAGAATAGAGAGACTGATTAAACTAATTTAATCGCATTGTGCCCTGAGAATATTATGGTTTGGAAGGGGGAGAGAGCAGCGATGGGTGACATCCTAAAGAAGACAGCAAAAATCTACCCTCAAGATTAGCTAAATAATTCATGTATGGCACGATAAACGATCAAGTTTAACGAAATAATCACACTAAAATGATTAGGATGCCACAAAAATAATGGTACGCGTGTTTACACTAAACTTATTTGGTAATTCTTAAAAGAAGGGCAATAATAAGTTAATGATGCCCTGAGTGCCTTATTTACAGCATTGAGACCATGGCGCCCGCCTTAGCGGTTTCAAGAATAGGCGCGCTTAATGCCGATCTCACTGGATGCCAAAGTAGATGCAAAACTGACAGATTGTTACTGACTGCTGGATATGTTTTACTCGGGAAGTGATCCTTGATGTACCTGATAGAGTAGGCTTCTCCACGCGTTTCGGAATATCAACAGCCTTCTTGGACCTCAGTGCCTAGTAACATAGCAAAACTATTGAAGTTAGTCGAGGAAAAAAACCGAGCGCACTTTCAGATGTAACGTAGTTCCTGGAATAAGCTAACGGACTCTTATTTGAAATTTCGGCTGAAAGGAGCGAGGCTAGTTGGAAGGAGGGCGTTTAATCGAGGGGGAAGAGGGGTGCTTATTTTTTTCCTGTTCTGATTCCAATGTAATCGAAGATTCAAAAGATATAAATGGGCGATAGAAAATTGTTTTCCTCGGATCCTTACTATTTGAGAAAACTAGGGAGAAGGGGGAGGGGTTTATTCGAGAGGGTTGCTTGTTTGACAGCATAGCCTAAGGGGTGGATGTCCATTCGGGAGAGGGCACTTATTCCTGACCCTATTGACGAAATTAACGTTTAAAGACGACGTTCGACAAAGTTTAAGACTGTCTAGAGCACGCGTGGCTAAGCAACGGCTAAACTTTGTTTAGACACCTGTAACTGACATTTCGTTTTCAACTAACCTCAGCAAAAGATGGAGGGTTTGGTCCCAGATCATCTTGCAAATTGGCTCCATCTGTTTCTCCTGCTGCAGCATAACCTTCATCTGAAAACCAAGAGGAACCATATTGAAATTCACTGAATGTTTTCTATTGAATGCAAATTGAAGGGAATGTCTTTTGTACCTTGACCAGCCATGGAAGCTGCAAACTGCATGAATGGGCTAGGTGACGAGTTACCGGGTGGAGAGAATGCCAATGGCCCGTGCTGAGCCGGGAACTCTGACTCACTGCCAAGATTTAAGCGTTCAGGAGCCACTGATTCACCTGTACGATGGACACATTCATTTACATTAGCTACAGTACTTAACAGACTAGACTTAAAATACCACAACGGATACGAGAATTTCTACACAGATTTTTAAGTAACCGTTAATATAATTGGTTTTACATTTTCACATGCAAATCAGAACTGAACAACGGCATGGTTTCTCCTAATCCTACTCACTAGTAAATCTTCCTGAGCTGTATGAACAATTGTCACTGGATGAAATTTTATGCTCCCTCTTCTTCTCCATCCTTAACTTCTTCTGCCTCTGCTGTCTTCGACGTTGAAGCTCCTCTGCACAAAGGAAAAAGAAGAGGTAAATACTAAAGACCAATTGTTCTAAGATAAGAGGTCTGCAAAATATTTTAAAGGTAAACCAGCTTGGCAGCAGAGCTCCACTGGGTGTTGCAGCATGGAGTTGTATCCTTCAACGGTTTTTTAAGATGAGCACATGGGTAAAAATAATTGGAGATCAGTGAAAGGGTTTGCTCAAATTGATTCACCTTTCCTTACATTATTGCAAGAATGTGAAGCATATGTACTGCACAGTGTCCCTCACCTCGGAAGAAATTGAGAGTGTGGCGTGACACAACAGGTGGTTTGATGTCCAGTTCACAGATAACAAACTCACAGGTTAAAGGAAGATGGCTCATGTATCGGAACTGCTTACGAAGAGCCTACAAGTACATAGTCACATTAAACAGGAAAATTACCCTAAGTTAACATACATTGCCAAAGAACTATAGTATACAGCTTACACACAGTTACAACTTAACAATAAGTTCTAGACAAAGTCTTGAAAGGAAAACAGTGAGGTTTATGCCAAAAATTGAACGAGATCCTTCCTTGAAATCTGTCTGTGCACCTTTGGTTCTTAAATTGTGACATAAAAGCCTGAGTACTGTCTTGAAATGGGTGGGGTTGGGGGGGGGGGGGGAAAGGAGGGAGAGTAGGAAAGAGAGGTGGCTAAAGAGAGCAATGCCTTAAGCTGAACTATATTAGAAGTGGACATTTGGTGACCTAAAATCATAAAGGGTCTGGAGAAACATAATTATATTTATACAATGTATGATATTGCATGATAACTAAACCACACTGCTTGTCTTGAAGTAAGCAGCATGGCTGACATTTAGAGTATTATCCTCTCTGTGCCTTTCTGAACCAGGAAAAAAACAAAAACAAAAACATGCACACAGAAAAAAAAATAAGAGATCTAATTTACATCTTGAAAAGTTGGGGTATCAAATCCTAAGACTGACCTCATTCTGGGTCAAAGCTTGCATTTCCACAATCTCTCCTGTAATATATTCTGGACAATACTCCAGACTCCCATACTCCTGGAAAGTAAATAACTTAGTCAATCAAACAAATCTTAGGACTTCTTTCATAAAATTATTTCATCAATTTTACCATAAAATAAAAGGAATACCTTAATCAAGCAGCGTGCATTAATAGAGCTCAAGAATACATTCTGGCCATCATCAGCTGTAGAGACAAAAATTTTTGGATTGCTCTAGAATTTTATTAGTTTCATGTGTGATACTTAAACAGAGAAGTGCTGGTATGTTACTCCCTTAGCTCTCAAGATCTGACAGTCAATTCTCCTATCTAGCTGTAACATTTAAAAAAAAAAAAAAATGAGTTATACCCATTTGGTATTACCAGTACAGTGGCAGATCAAGATAACTTTTACATGATGAGTTTGCTGGATATGTATACTTAGATATTTTAGGGAGAAGTTACATGTTAATCACCCTTAGGAGTTAAAGGGTTGAATACAAATAATCAAGGTGTAACTTAAGAGATAACAAATGGCTGAAAAAAAAGACATGAACTACACAAGACAAAAATTGGCCTAATGCTAATATGATTCTTTGACAATTTTATACATAGACCATTTCATATACCTTGATAGAAGTAGTAGTGCTGAGTTGTAACAGCCCCAGGAGATAAAGGTCTTGAAGACTCTGAACTAGAATCTCCTGATGTACTCTCACTGCTGTGCTGTCGCGCTCTCCTAAGGTAAGTGACATTATCAAAATCTTCTACCACCTCTGTTGTTTCGCATGTTTCTTTGGATAATGAATCAATCACATCAAAATTTGACTTCTGTTTTTCACCCTCCACTGTTCCATCTTCTTCATCAGAGAAGGCTGCCTCATACTCGCCAACATCCTAAAGGATAGAAATGCAAGCTAAATAACCCACAGAGCATACCCAGAACCCTGTTCCTCACCCAAAGAGACCCTATGAATATGCTAGTTCCTCACTGGAAAAACGAACTGATATGTAGAGTTTTCTTCAAGTTTAGAAGATATTGATGAAAGGCAGATGGTTTTTTTGTATGAAGTGTTACCCTTTTCCAATATCACCTTTGAGTTCCTACCTTAACCTGATGAGAAGAGTTGCTAGAAACTAGTTTGCTGGCTTCTGGCTCTTAAACATGGCCTTGGATAGAGTATGGAATGTCATTCTTAGACAGGTCAGAAAGTAACTTCTTACCTGAAATGCCCCTGGAGAAAGTACTTTCCAGCTGGTAACTTCTTTGACATCTTTTTTATTGTCTTCCTCATACTGCAGTGAACCTGATGACATTATCAAATCAACTAATTACTCAAGAAACCTTCAACCCAGTAAACAAAATAATACTGCTTTCAAAGTTGTAATACCCAGTCTGGTCAAAACACTAAAACTGTACTCTTGTGAAAAGGGAAAAGAAGAACTTCAACTTTAGAGCCAGTTTACATCTCGTAGTAAATTGAAACAAGTGAATAAAGAGGTAAGTTTCTAAAGAAACTGTGGTGTTTTGTTGGTGGAAACAAGAGCTGGAGCTGGAGTTTAAGCTCTATTTGTGATAAAAGGTCCATGACATTCAGACAATCAAGTGGAATGGGGGTGATGCTTTACAAGAAACTATTGGGTAAATCAAATGAATGTAGTGTAAAACAGTTGTAACAAATACAATGAGTTTGATGAGCCATGATGCCAGAAATAGTTGATTGAAGAGATAGAAATATTAATCTCAGCCAATTCATGAAGAACCTTGCAGCATTTTTTGTTTGTATGGTTGCTTGGAGGCTAGAGAAGTACAACAAGCAAAGATGAACAGTCTAATTACCAAAGAACTAAGCTGAAACCTATAAGAAAGAGCACCAACCCCAGGAATCAATAGGAAACTAACCAGCAATTGAATGCACTTCATTAATCAACAAAGATGCAGGTTACATTTAAAGCAGTAGTCATTCAGGATCCTTAACTGACACTCACTCTCCATGAGGCTTCTCACTTCTTCAACACAATCCTTTGATTTACTCAGTTTTTCACGACGAGCCTGCAAACATACCCAAGAGATTCAAAAGTTTTAGTTAATGATAGTGGAGGGAATAGGGAAACACTCATCTAATAGTTTCAACAATATTCCGAAATAAAAGAAAAAAAGAATAAAAGAATAAAAGAATAAAAGAATAAAAGAATAAAAGAATAAAAGAATAAAAGAATAAAAGAATAAAAGAATAAAAGAATAAAAGAATAAAAGAATAAAAGAATAAAAGAATAAAAGAATAAAAGACACCTGAGAAATGGTTATATCACAGTTTGCTCTTCGAGTTTCATACATGGAGCTATTGTACCTTAATTTCTTCCAGTGCAACTTCAATGTAACAAACTTCCTCCAGCTGTAGAAAAATAAAATACAAATTACAAGATTTAGGGATTTAACAGTTTTCCCAATTTCTAAGAATATCCCTAAACTTTGAGTATGTCATCTCTTTTATTACATAGTTAACACTATCTGATGAATCAAGCTGGGTAAAGGGCACAATGATAATAACTGCCTTCTCCCAATACAAGAATTTCCCACATACCTGTTCACATTTGGCTTCCACAAGCTGTGTACTCAATGCTGTCTCTTCAGGTTCAATGATCTGTTTTAATGAAACCAACAGTAGCCTCAAACTCAAAACATATTGTGCAGACAACTATTAAATATTTACCCCCCTTCACAGTTTTAATCAGAGTTGAAACAATCCAATTACCTGTTTTAAAACTTCATCAGGAGAGGCCAGCAGTAGTTTTGCATAACGTGTATCTACCTCATCTGAGAGAGAAAAACAATAAAAAATTTTAACCAGATATAATACCACACATTTCCTTTCTTAATGTGATTATTTTAAAAGGTCTATGTTACCATTGATTCCAAATGGCTTTAATTCCCTCTCGTCCCATTGGGCTTTAGGAATAGCAAGCACAGAGTTCTAAAAAAGATAAAAATACATATTGCCATCCACAGCCAAAAACACTAAAGACTTGTCTTTAATTATTATGTTCAATACTATGGATTTGAAGAGCTTTCTTTTCTTTACACTTGATGATATCCATGTGGGCAAGAGGGCAAGCTTTGTACCACAAAATCTCGGACAACTATTTTATCTTCTTTTCACACTGTTTCAATGAAAGTGTTTATGGCTTGCCTTTTCAACTTGGAGACTTGAAGACAATTTATAGGCCTGTTTCTCATAATTATAATACATTTGACAATTGTCAGATCAATTTGATATTTCCATATGATATAAAAACTAAATTAATTCACTTTCAATGGAGTTTGTAAGAAACTGTTCATAGTAGTAACCTTGTGCAAATGTAACCAGGCCATTTCCTTAAGACAGGTTTTAACAAACCATTTTAAGATATAAAACAGAGGAGGCCATTCAAGATTGTGATTCAGTTAAACTTTAGAGGAGTTAAACCCTTTACACTCTTTAAATGATGAGCATCTACCTAAAAAACTGCTGCACCCTGAATTCAGCAGCTCAAATTTTGGAGAAAAAGTTTTTTGAAAGAAATCAAAAGAAATCCAAAGTCGCGTCTTGAGAAGTCTTCTTCATCCACTGTTTATCAAACATAAACTCACTAATTAACTTTGCAACAGAAAATACTTTAAAGTCTTACCCACAATTTTAGCACTTTGATACAATGAACATCATTTCTACCAACTTTGACATATGATTGATCTTTTTCTGGTGTTTGTTGGCAGGAATTTCTTCATTCAACACAGTTTTTCCATAGATTTTTGCATTACAACAAGAACGTGAGCCAAACATTTGAAGCTTAGTAACCAAGCATTAGATTGGATGACATTCATGACACCTTTTTCAAATGTCCCCGCAGATAAGCCTCACCTCTAATTTCTAGTGACAATTTTTGGAAAAAAAAGTGTGGCTTATATGCAGGTTTTTACGGTAATTTCTCCTTGCTGTTTCACCCCTGAATCACATTTCAAGGTTACGAGAATAAAGAAAATGATCAACAACTAAAAAAGCTCTCAACTGTTAAACAAATTCTCCTAGTCAGCAGCTTAGGAAATGTATAGAGAACAGTATGGAGAATATGCACACTGATGTTAGAGCAGAAAGGGTTAAGAGTACCTTAGCTCGCTTCATAAGCCTCATGGTGATAGTATCACCAACTGAAAATGGGTGTGATTCCATGGCAACAACACTGAAAAGAAAACAGAAAAATTGGTGAAAATCTAAAAGAAGAAATCTGTGGGTTTTATAACTAAAAAAATTTAGCACTTAGTCAATTAATAAAAATTATATGAACCAAAGAAAGATGCACTTTAAAATTTTTTGTCACCTTCAACACTTCAAAAATTGCTTAAGCAGAGGTACAGAGCAACAGCTTATATTATATAACTTATATATTCCTGTAAGCCAAAGAGCATAACCAAAAAATGGGCACTGCTCTGAGAAACTGACTCTTAAGTACATCAAAATTGCAGAACCAAAAGAAACTTTAACACACAAAAAGTTTGATTATAGGACATCACATTCATCACTACTTTGGGCTTGGATAGTATTACCGTACCTCTTCAAGTTATTTTTATAGACAGCTTCAAAACAAATGGGACACTTGTGCCAAGAGTTGTCGCTCTGTTGAAGCAAGTTTTAAATTGAGTTATTTATCTTTTAACCCTTGCAGTCCCAAGATCTAAATATTTTTTCTCTGCACTGTCCGTTCTACCTTTCTTATAATTTTGGATCTGAGAATTAAGCTTCCAATCAGAGATCATCCCTTACTTGCTTTTCTCTTCATTCTTTTGACACTTCTGCTTGAAAATTTATTAAAAATGTGAGGAGAAAATTCCTTTCTAGTGAAAGGGTTATCTCCCTGTATTATCCTAGAATAACTAGCAGTCCTATAGTTTTAACCCCACACAGCATCATTACAATGAAATTTAACAGTTTCTGATTAGGTTCATTATGTTTTCTTAGGAAAAACTGTCAAAGTATTGTCCACCACCAGGGAATTGGAATGGGTATGTCTATGGTAAATGTGCTAGGTTCCCTTGGCAAGAGACTAGGATATCTCCCTCCAGGACAGTGCCAGATCTCATGGTTCCTTTGTGCTTTGAGGAAATGTAATTTAGTGTGCTAGTTATCATCTATAATGCATGTGAGAAAAAGTAACTTCAGAGCATTAACCCATTCACTCCCAATATCTCATTAATAATTATCCTTTATGTCTACCATATGATTATCATGAGGTTAGTTTAGAGAATTTAATATTGAATCAACCAATAATGCTTTGACTGATGTTTTCATTTAATCTCGTTACTTGTGTGCTTATTGATGTATTGATATTGTAAGGAGAAATTAGGTCTTTGTCACTCCTGGGAGCTAAGGTTTAAAAAGTCATGGGTATCACCAAACACTTACCAGACTTAAGTAATGAAGGATACAAGACCAGCAGTAGATATGGCCACATCGGGTTATCTTAGCTAAAAAACAGACAGTGAAATCCATTAAGATTACAATAACCTAAAAAAGATTTTTTTCCAGCCAATGAGCTTGCCAGTGTGGAATTTGATGTTGAGACCTATATCATTACATAACCTCAGCATCTTGGCAAATCTATTCAAATTTTAGGGATGTTGATGTTGAGATAAATACTATCATGTCATCGCAGCATCTTAACAAATCTACTCAAATTTTTGGGGATGTTGATGTTGATGTTGAGACAAATACTGTTACAAAACCTCAACATCTTGGCAAATCTATTCAAATTTTAGGGAAGGGCTCATCAACATAACCTTTCATTGTATTTTAAGACATTTTCTTCTTAACTTAATATGTACCTGTTTAAAGTCAATTAATTTGTTAAACAGTATCACATCTACCTGCAACAGGGGGATATAAACAGATGGGGCATGATGGCACCTCATGGCTTAAGATTCGCTGTGAAAATAAATCAAGATAAATTGATAACATTAACAAAATAATCTGCATAAATAAATTTTTTACACTTGTCAGATGATTTTAGGAAGAAATTATAAAAGTTTTGATGTAATGAACTCACCACTTGTTCTATCAAATCCCAGTCCACAAGCACATCAGGGTCCATGGCATGAATTTCATAATCACCAGAATCAGACACTACAAACTGAAAGCTAGAAAATAATAATGAACAATAAAATTTGAAATTTCAAGGCTTCTAACCAGATGAGTGAGCACTAAGCCATTTTGCTGTGGCTGTTTCTTTTTTCCCTTCTACAGTTAGTTCTATTGTTGTTAATGATCACTGACCCTTGATCAAACTACCTTGAAAAAGAGTTTCCTGGAGTAGCTGAATCAATTTGAAACATTTGAAGTCATCACAGTTATTGTCCAACTGCACAAAGTCGAGTAAAAATAACATGCAAA